CCATTCTTCCTTTTTAAGTATGCACAGGATTCCTTTCTCAGTCATTTACTTTGTTTGTTTTTTATCAGATCAAGCCAATTGTTTGTCGTGTCCATCCGAAGTCATTGCACATAGTACAAGGGACAACAAGTTCTCTTTGATCCCATCTTCTGGAGTGGCTAAACCTACACTTAATTGACTTGGGGAGAAAGCAGAACTTTATATAAAATCTAGCTCACAATTTAGAAGCACCAATAGTATGTAATTACATTAAAAAAAGTTACCATGACTGTTTAGCAAAAAGATACCTTCACATGGTGACAAAAGCAATGAGGCATTCTTCGCCTTCTTCCTCCTTCGAAGATGAAAATATAGATATGTTGCCAGTATTAATAGAACTACTCCAGCAATAGAAATTCCAGAAATAGCTCCATCAGAAATTCCTGTTGTTTTCACATCATGCTCTTTACATAAGTTGGAAAAGCCAATGAGATATATTTCCTCCATCAGACATTCAGACATGAACTCTTCTGTGATCGAAATAAGCATCTTTAATTAACAAGATCTAAGAAGATCAATTACCTGCACTGAAATAGTACAGTGATAGAATATTCATATTAGAATACATTGAAAAAATAAAAGTTAAACAAGTAATTATCAATATTCACCTTGAGGAAAACGGATGATAGCTTCCATTTGGATCTGCAAAATCATGTTAAAACATTTTAGTAGTCATAAACTGCTTCAGTGAGAAGCTGATATAAGAGATCAAACATAGTTCCACTTAATTCAAATCAGTAGAACCACTTAAAAGAATATCTGAAATTTTCATAAAAACTCAATAAAAAAATTTGATTCATCCAGAATTGACGTCCTAAATATTGGCATATAGAGATCATACCATGGTTTGCCATACCGAACAGTACCGCCCGGTACGGGCGGTACGTACCGGTCCGATAGACTTTCGGTACGCGGACCGCCTCTTACCGTTCCGGTACTGTATCAGTACTGTAGCACTGTAGCACTGCTACAGTGCTCGGCACACCCGGGTGTACCACTCGGTACACCTCGGTATACCGGTCGGTACACCTGTACCGTACCGTACCGAGCGCGGGTCGAAACGCCGGTACGGTACGGTACGGTACGGCGAACCTTGGATCATACATTATAATGCCACATAAATATAACAACCTAAATACTGTAATAATTTTATTAAAGAGTAACATTAATGCAGGCCTAATGTAGATCTAATCATCTTGACACATGCTCAAGGTACAGATGACTTGCTTTAAAGACTATTATTGGACAAATAGGGAGAACCTAGAAACAAAAGATCCATCATTCAGTGCATAGGTCAAAAAAAAGGGGTAAACAGAAAGCAGGATACAGCATTTTGAAGAACATTCAAAAAAGATGAAGAAATTGGACAATTACAAGGTAAACTTTCAATTATTGTTCTAAAAATCAATTATCAGATACATATTGACCATACCAACTGAAACATACCAGTCTACCTGAGTGATAGTATGGATCTCATGCTATGCCAAGAGGGTGAGATTCTTAGCAATATGATATGCTCATACCAACTGTCATACATGCTCAACTGACACACGCTAGTCCAATCATTAATTAGTAGGGATCAGCGAGTAATGGCAGTCCTTGGGCAAAGAAAAACCTTACACACATTAGCTCAGCCAGCTCAAAATACATGAGCATAAAAAGACAGCAAACATCAGTCACACAGATGCCGTTCCTAGATTTACTGGTGAGCTGAACCTACTCAACAAGATTAAGGAACTTTTTGGACAAAAATGCATTAGCTTTTTTTTTTTTTCCTTTACAAGGCATCCATTGTCGTAATTTGTTAAAGGGATGTGTTGGTTCATTTTCCTGAGATTTAATTCCATCTAAATTTGACCTCCAAACCCTATACTCTTAGGGAACAAAAGGAAATTTTGAGAAAATCATATCAACTATTAGGTTTAGATTTTGGTTATACTAAATCTTTTAGGAGAGTTTGGTTAAATTAAGATTCTTAATCACCAGCATAAAGAAAATAAAAGGCTCACCTTTTGCAGGGATAAACACGACTCCCGACCCAGAGCTAAAATTCACCCCAGGGTTATACTTCAGCAGCAAATCCTCCTGCGAAGGAAACCCGTTCGCGGCAGCCACCGATGACAGGTTCTCCCCTGGTTGGAGTGGGTAAGTCACGAACAACCCGTAGTCCTTTGAAACCGACGCGTCCCCGCACGAGCAATTGATCACCACACCGATGATCGCCCCATCGGGCACGTTGGTCACTGGATAGCTATTGAACGTCGAAAGCAAGTCAACCGTGGTCAAATTAGCATACACATCCCGGGCGATCGTGTTATAGGTGTCGCCTTTGAGAACGACGTAGGAGAAATTGTGGCCGAGGAAGCCGCCGTCGATGCAATCACAACGGAAGAAGACATTGACGCGGCTTCCAGTCCGGATGCTGTTCAAATTCTTGATGTTGGGGTTGTAAGGGCCAAGATCGGTGTACTTGACGCCGAAGAGGCTGGAGATGTAGGTGAGGTTGTCTTTGGGGGAGACGTGGTAGGACGCAAGGGCGAGATCGCAGCCTCTTCGGCAAGCGGATTCCGATCGTCGGAGGAGTGAAGCCAGAATTAGGAAGCAAAAAGGGAAAGAGCTCGATCGGATCATCTTGGACTCGATACGGAATGCAGGTCGATGGAAACCCTGACGACGCTCCATCCCCCATCTCCTTACAAGGGAATAAAAGAGGGAGAGGTGGACTCTCGGTGTCGTTTGTCGACTTGACTTCTCATCATAAGGTCAAAGCGGCGGTGGGATTTTTTTAAATGTGAGAAATGGGAGATGGCCACGTGGCCTCAGTGGGTCCGCTGCTCGATAGGCCGGTCAAACTTTGAGAAACACATCTGGGGGCCCCCGCCGCATACGATTTTGCTTGGGGCCCAGGAACCGGCCTGCTGATAAATCGAGTTGGAAGGCCACAAGAGATATCTAACTATTTAAAGGGTTTTGCCGGTTATAATCTCTTCTTAAGCTTATCTATTTGATATTACCTTCATTGGAAGCTTACCCATTGGTAGCCACATTAATAAAAATGATAAAAGAACGAAAGATTAGATATGCAACAACGCTATGAAAAATATTTTTATATTTGCTTGTGATTAAGTTAAGGGAGAATTCACTGTCAAAGGTGAATACGAGTATGATTATCAATGTTAGATTTTTTTTATCTCTTAAATTTATCTTGAAATTTTTTAATTTGAGTCTTAGAAGGATCACACTGTAAGCCTTTCTTAATATTGGTCTTTTACAAAAAGAAATACACCTCAAGATTGACATCATATTGGAGGCTTGTAGCACATTGGGTGTCAATATATCTCCTAACACGAATCGATTTTAAACCCAGGTTGATCTAACTCATCCAAGTCCACCAATATGTGACAATAACATTATTTAAAAAATTTAGCCTAATTATATGTAATTGATCTTGCGAATAGATAATATATAAGAAAAGTAATGTTAGCTAATTGGAAAGGATTATTTATTAGTAAAACTAATAATAAGTTAAATTGATAAATAATTAAATAAATAATATTGATTAATTTCTCTTGATCTTCTTTGATTATTTCACACATAGATTCCTAACCATGATCATCGAATGTGGTTCATAATTAAAATTCCATGGTTTGAAAGTGCTTCATGTAGTAAGAATAAGAGAAATTATCAAGGCCTTAAATATGGCTTGAATACGCTACATATAGCAAAAAGTTAGTTGGTCAAAAGTATGAACGTTATATACACGTAATTCGCATACGGCAACTTGATTTTTTTTATAAATGCACTAATATTATCATAATATATTGTTGTTGAGGAGATTACAATATAATGTTAAGTTTATAAAAGTTAATAGTAGTACACTTATTCTTATAAATTAATCTTAATCTTATCTATTTTCGAAATGAAATTAATTGTGGTGTTATAATTTTTCCTACTTAAAGCTTTGACTTCTTATGCCCAACATAAGTTAGATCACATCCTACTATGGTGATACATATTACTAGTCATAAGTGATATCATGTGAAATATGATATGTACTCTTTTTACTTATTATTTATTTGATATTTTTCTCACTTTATATTAGCTATTGCATATATTGTGATGTACATAGATTTGTGCAATAAGAATCAGATCATAATGATATCATGATAATGAGACTGATTTACCTTTAAATATAGACCATAAATAATTCTGATCATAGGTCACTCGAGAGTGATATCGAGATAAGCGGATGACTAATGTGTTGTATACCAATCCATATGATGAAGACGGCTGGTCTCATAACTACGCTTATGTGAGAACACTAGGGATACCGCATAAGTATTCATTAGAGAATAAGCTTACTAATTGATCTGTTCACGGAATACTAGATTGATGATGCTATATTATCATATAGTGATTCTGTCGTCTCCAATATAATTCTAATTAAAAATTTAAATGTAACATCAATCATCATTTCATTTCTGTTGAGATACTATCGGTTCATAGCACCATGGGATAGTTGATAAGTCTCATATTTGAGTTCACATGAACGTCCAGTACATCTTAATACAATGAATGGAAATTTGTTTTTCTGAAAGAAATATCTTGCGAGCAAACTCATCACTGTCTTAATGAGGCAGAGGATGTCCCTACTCTACGACAGACCATATGCTTGATTTGTCATCTATCTCGAACTTCCGCTCTGGACAGTTCATGCCCTTGTTATTGCACTTGACGTGAGAGGCCAAATGTGTCAGGTCAACCACATTTGAGGAGAAGCCACATTTTTCCGGATAGTCCACTCAAACTAAACGGACATTATATTGCGGGGTATGTCATAAAATTTATTAGTTGAAAATGAGTGGTATGTGTGCTCGACATTAAAACCAAGCTTATGTGAGAATTTGAAGATACATGTAATGTAATGAAAGTATATGATAATGCCGTTGTTTCTTCTGCCCTCAGACACGAAGTGAGCTGCACCCGGGCCTCTTTGCCACGCCCGCCACCCTCATCGCGCACCGGACTCGATCCTTCTCCTCCCACCGCCCGATCCATCCATAGGCATTCGACAGCAGCACGTAATCCCCATCGTGCCCAGGCTCCGTCTCCGCTATCCTCCTCTTCACCTGCTCCGCCAGCGCAACGTCGCCGTGGCTGACGCACGCACCCAGGAGCGTCCTCCAGATCACCGCGTTGGGTCTCACCGGCATCCCCTCCACGAAGTCGTACGCCTCCCTCACGCGCCCCCCCCTCCCCATCATGTCCACCATGCAACCGTAGTGCTCCATCCGCGGCTCCATCCCGGGCGTCCGCTCCATGCTCCGGAACACTCGCCACCCTTCCTCCAGCAGGCCCCCGTGGCTGCACGCCGTCAGCACCCCGATCAGCGCTACGTGGTCGGGCCGCAGCCCCGCGTCGCCCACCATCCGGTCGAAAGCTCCCAGGGCCTCGGCGCTCCGCCCGTGCGCCGCGTACCCGACGATCATGGCCGTCCACGCCCTCACGCCTCGCTCCCGCTGCGGCATCCCGTCGAACACCCTCGCGGCTCGGTCCATGGACCCGCACCGCGAGTGCATCGTGATCAGCGCCGTGCCCATCTTGGCCGTCAGGGCGAACCCTCGTCGAGCCACGTAGCGGTCCACCCAGGCGGCAAGGTCCGGAGCGCCGAGGTGTGCGACCGCCGTGATCACAGTGATCACGGTAACCTCGTCAGGCGCCGCGTCGGGGGAGCAAGCCTGCATGAGGCGGAAAGCGTCGAGGGCGGTCTCGTCGTGGCCATTGGACGCGAGCGAGGAAATAAGAGCAGACCACGAGACGGCATCCCTCAGGGGCATTTCGACGAAAATCTGGAGAGCGGCGTCGAGGAGAGCGAACCCGCTGTAGAGACGAACAAGGGTGTTGGCAACGTAGAGGTCGGCGGAAAGGCCGTGCTTGACGGCGAGGGCGTGGGCGGCGACGCCCGGGTGGCGACGGGGGCCATCGGCGCAGGAGAAGGGGAGGAGCGAGCAGGCCTTGAGGAGGAGGGGGAACGTGAAGAGGTCCGGGGGGACCGCGGCTGCGCGCATGAGGCTGAAAGCAGCGAGGGCGTCAGAGGGGTCGGCAGCAGAGGCGCGGATGAGCGTGTTGAAAGGGAATGCGGCGGAGTGGCGGAGCAGGGACGGCTGGTGGCGGACGAAGGCAGCTCGGACGTAGGGGAGGGTGGAGGGGTGGTGGACGGAGTGGAGGAGGAAGGAGTGCAGGGCAGTGAGGTCGAGGGTCTTGATGAGGCGGGCGTGGAGCCTGTAGGCTTGGTTCATTTGCTGCAGTTGCCGTGCCTCGCGATATCCTAATAGATGTTATCAAATTTTTGGCAAGAGTAGCCAACACAATATAATTAACCAGATGACCATTAAAAACATTATGTTTCACAATGGTATACGATGGCAAGTGTGCGAGGGGGGTGGTGGTGGGGCGAATTAGAACTGATGATGCTGGGATGTGTTTATGAGTAGCAGGAGATTGCATTCAGGGACGAGATATATACATTTTGATGAAAAGTTGGAGATCAAAGTAGGACTCGAGCAAACCTTACGATCGAAGTAGGACTCGAGTCAACCTTACGATCGAACTAGTCCACATCGAGACCGATGATAAACTTACGGTTGACATTTTCTTGTTGAACAAAGAATCTCTATGGCCAACTCCTTAAACGCCACTTGATTTATTTTTTTTATTTTTTTATCTAATTTTTGTATTTTGGATCTTATATACTTTTAGTACAGAAAATCATTGTACTTATTGCTTGGTGAAATCAACCTACTCAAAAAGAGTCGTTTTTTTAGACCGATCACTAGCTGAATCCTTTCTCTTTTTTCCTTTTTTTAGTGCTGATGATACGAGCACTATTTGTATTAGGCACCTTTATTAATATAATTGTGTATATATATATATATAGTTTTTTAATTATCAACATTATTATTAGTTATTCAAATTGTTACTCATTTTATTTATATTTTGCTTATTTTAGTAGTCTATATATTAACTTTTAAGATCTATATTTTTCTTCTAGGTTTTTACTTTTGTTTTATATTATATTATTTAAAATTGTTTTTTCTTCTACTTTTTAACTGTATTTTCTTTTCTTTTATTTTCTTCTAATGCCAATTACTTTTTGTCTATAACTTTGTTATATGGAAAAAATAATAATTTTCTTCCATCATAGTTGTTTTTGTTAAGATTTTAATTTATGTTTACATTTATCTTATATATGACTAAGTATTTAGGAATGAGAATCTTTCCCAAACCTACTTCAAATACAATAAACCTAGTTCAAATAAGTTGAGTGGATGTGTATATTAATGGATAGAAATTTACAATCATATTTATTGTGTAGTGCCCGAGTCATACACACATTATATTATAATCAGTATATAAATAAAAATAAAAACAATATATATGTTATCGTGATATGATTTATAATGTTTATACTTCATAAATATAATAAATGATATACTTATGCTATATACTTCTCAAAATATATTATTCATAATATTCTATAAAATTTTATTGAGCATGCATAAGCATTAATATCTACTTTAAACATGTTTTATAGAAATCAAGCATAGTCCTTCGGTGCAACTAGATAAAGTGTATTAGTAGACTTGAATATTAGGTTAAGTTTTGGTAATGAGTATGCATATAGTAACTAGAAGTGATAATTAAATTTTAATTGACCTTAAGTAAATCTCAAGGCGTGAATGAGTTTAACCATGATTAAAATAAAAAAGTTTTAAGTTTTAAACATTATGCATATAGAGGATAATAAGCTAATTAAATATGAAAGAAGTAATAAAAAATAAAATATAAATATAAATTAAAGAAAAGTGTCATACTAAAAATGTTGAGATATATAAGTGAGATTGAAAGATGAGTTCAAACTAAAAATATCATTTTTGTCAAACCAAATTAGACTTAATTGAAGTTGCTATAGTCTTATAATTATATTAGTAAAAGAAGATTAAAAAATTAAAATAAAGTCTAATTGGATTGAACTCTAGACCTCAAAGTAATCTCTTACTATCTCTAATTTATTTTAGCTTCGTTCTTTTTACCAGCTTAATAACTCATGATCATTTCTCTTATTCTTCAGTCATTCTCTTATCTTTTCTTATGGAAGTTAGGAAATGTCATATCTAAAAAAGGTTAATGTAAGAAAAACCTAATTTTTCTCTTTCTATACCTAGGATTTTGATTTTACATATTATAAACTGATATTTTCAACTATTTTTTAGCAATCTAGACTTTAAATTTATGTTTAATTTAGGATATATTTTGTATAAATCTCTTATGATTATAAGATCTTTGGTATGACTTTAATAGAAGATCGATGCATAAAATTATGAGTGTCTCAATCTGATGTATTTAAAATCTTTTACTTTTTGAGAAATGGATCTATTCAAAAGGAATTGACCCCATAGGATATGATTATGTTCTATCCTTTTAATATATTTTAAAATGTTTCATTGGAGTTTTGTATGATTTAGAATAAGGTGAATACCACCTTTGTGCATATGACGTTTATAAGTTGACCGTCCTAATCCAATTTCAGCATAATAGAATAGGTATTGATAGTTAATTAGAAGGATAGTTTAATCTCCAAATTATTCTATTTTAAACTAAAAATTAGTGTATTTAGTGTTACATGTCTCTTAGTTTTTTTATAAAATTTCATGATAATTCAAGATCGTTTAATTAGCTAAAATAGTATAATAAAATTTCTTCTTATAATTATGTGAGAGCTTAAGTGATAGTAACTAGTTCATTTGATTACAAAATGAACTATTAAAATATTAGAGGTGGAATTTAGATACATTTTTAGATAAAGTATAGTTTATTTTATTAGGAATTTTATCAAAAAAATTTCTATGAATTTTGCTATAAATTATTATAAATCAATAATTCGAGAAGTATGATTTTTAATTAAGTCATCTCATGACCCTATTCTCCCAATTTGATAGGTGTACCACTTCCTAGCATACTCAATCATTAAGGAACGTAATCTTTCATTGATATATTCATATTTGAGTTCAATCAAATAAGTATAATTTTAATTCATTGCAAAATAATGATCATATAAATTATTGTATTCATAATATATTTTGGAAAGTATATTTCAAATGATATGATTATCATGAGCTAAATTTGAATGTATATATTTTGTAAGCATAAAAGTATATAAATGATGACGTGCGGTGTGAGGACATGTATTTTCTATGACATGTGGTGAAAGAGAGCACAGATATGTTACAACGTATAATGCATATATATATATATATATATACTATATCATGTGTTAAAGTATATGTATATATTATGATATATAGTGTGAGAGTATACATATATATTACGATGTATAGTGTAAGAGTGACACGTATTATATTACGATGACGTGT